GTGGAATCTATGGGAACCTTGCTGGGGAACAAACGATACAGTCCGTGTCAACCTTGTGCTCCCCTTTTCCATCAGCCAAATTGCAACCCCGGAGCCTCGCGCTGTGTTCTTCGCGTGTAGCATGCGCATTTGAACTCGCCTCATCGATCGGGGTCGCCGCGGTGGGTCATTGCGATGCGGACGCGTAGCAACTGCGAAAAAGAGAACACTTGATTGAGATCGATTGTAATCTCTGCTTCATGCTCTCCTCTGAACTTTCCTATACGTTTTATTGAAATGAAAAAAGGTTAGCATTCGTAACTAGTCATCTCTGCAATAAAATTACTCAATAAAACGATAAAATATGTTTGCTAGACTGTTCCATTGTTAGCAGGTTCTCCTTACTTCCTAGTGACTCATCGTTTTATGACCTCTCAAGAATAGTATGTGACAGATGACTATAGCTGGCGGCCAATGATAAATGCCTGACCATTGCCTTTTTTGCCAAATAACCATTTTTAGATGCCATCTGTGCCAAACTCCAGCAAAATAACATCATGACAGTAGCGAGGCGTAGTGTTGATGGACAGGAACTTCTGTATCACTCTATCAAGTATACGAACAACATCTTCGTGCTAAGTGAGCTGAAAATCCATCAGGCATCCACGGTGCTTACGGTTAGTTTTGTTTAATCATTGATTAGAATTGTCGTTTTTATCATCTTTTATTGATTCAAGTGCTTTTTTATAGCTGTCGTTGAAGTCTCGACATGTTCAAGCAGTAGCCAATATGAACGATATGTTCCAACTTATCCTGAGTAACTAGTGCGCTTGCAGAATAATCTGTTCTTTTTACATACATATATTTATTGCACGTTTTGTCCTATTCGCTTAAATTATTTTTCTTCTACGATTCCATTTGGTTGTGCAAGTTCTGTTCCGTGAATCTGTCATAGTATGTAACATAGTCAAAGTAATAAATCACTTATACTAGATTTTTGTGCTTTCTCAGACAATCAACCGGAACTTCCGCAGAACGTTTGC